GATCCCAGCTATCTGCTAAGATGATAAGTTTTCATGTACTATGCTTAAATTTCGTAGTAAAAAACATTATAAAACATTTATGTTCAAAAGTGTCCAGGTACTACCTTCTTTACCTTATTCACCGCGTGTAACTCCGACTTATTTATTGCCGAGCGTAACTCAAAGTTCGAGATTTACAACCCGACGAAGTTAAACGGTGTATTTACCGAAAGGACAATCGCGCGCACTGAGTAGAACGAGCGACGGCCATAGAAGCTGTTGAAGCGTCCGTGGAGAGGAACTCTCGGTGAAGGGCGAAACAAAGAATATGAAATATCACGTTGGCGATTGTTCGTCCGGTTTACGACGGGAAAAACTGAAAGCCCTCTCGACCCCTGTCGGCTTTCCCGGCGTAACGCTTTGATCCGTCGCTGATTCCACGAATATTTTTCGCCGCGAGCGTCGACACTTTGGATCCGTTCATTTCGTTCACAAGGAGAATTTATGTCTCGATTTTTGTTCATAAATCAATATTTTTCAATTCCTTTAGTGAATCGAATTCAATCTCCGAGTTCGAACGCGCATGAATTTCCATCTGACGAAAGTGGGAACCGTAACGATGCTGGGTGTGATTAGCGACCACTCGAGAGGATGGCTAGAGTCCATAGATCGGTGACGGATTAACCGTGGCCAAGGTACTCGCAAACGCATTGGCCATTTGGCAACCAAGACCATTGTTACACCGTAGCGCGCCGATTTAATACACGGTAAATGCAAACGGCAGACGGTCTAAACCTCTGGCGACGTTCCAAGCCGCGAGCTGCCAGAAACCACGCATAACAAGTAGCATTGTTAACGGAGGACCCACTCCTAATGACTTCTTGTACGATTTAAACGCCTATCATTTAACGAAATCGGTCCGAAGTCGAAACAGAACGTATCCGCGGTAGGACAGTAAGAAGCTCTGGCTTCGTGTCGTATGGACGTTCAAGTATGCTGTACCGCTGAGGAGAGATTACTGAAGAGTGGCAAGGGCGGATTTAGCGGTAAGTGGACTAAGCGGCCGCGGCCCCGGAGGTCTAAGAATATTTTTACTTAAAGATGTTAGAAATGACCGAAAAGGTTCAAGAAACCCTACTTAAAATAATCAAACAAATCTAAAAACAAAATATTAAATTTATGGCCTCTAAATTGTACTCCTTAACTGTTCATTTCAGTAAACGTTTAACACTAGAAAGACTGAAACTTAGTATATACCTATATTGCC